GAGCCCGATGCGGGGCTCGATCCCAGGACCCTGGGATCATGACCTGAGCCGAAGGCAGACACTTAACGACTGAGCCACCCAGGCGCCCCGATCAGCCTTTTTTCAGCTCGTTCCTCTGCCAGTCAGTGAGGCCTTCCATGGAGCAGTTTCTAATCCTTTTAGTTTCTGAACTTACAGGAGATAAACAGAGGCAAGAGACTGGCCGTCCCACATCCAGCTGTCCTCTGACCCACTCAATCTGTCGCCACATTTTGTACCAATGCCCTCTCTTGAACCCAGCTTTCCTCTACCCCTGTGTTCCTGTTTGTCTCCACAAGGCACTTGGCAGGCTTTCCCTGACTATCTTGGGAAGCAGAGCCCCTGGAAGCTGAGGTGCTCTTTGCAGAATACTGTGAACTACTGGCAGATTTAACTTTATTATGTGAACTAAGAACAGTTTGACTAGCAGACTCTCTTCTGTATATCTGATATAAAAACCACAATTAAATATATCCGTCAAACCACAGCGCCAATCTGACTAAGCATGACTAGCTCTTTCCAATTCTTTCTTAAACGCTCACTTGTAGCTTGCTTATTTGTCTTGCATTCTATGAGAGCTCCCAAGCAGATAGGTGGTAGCAAATGTTTAAGAATGTTTAAGATTTAACACCAAGCCATGCTTAAGATTTAAGACAAAGTGCCATGGGATAACCTAAAATTGAGAGCTAAATCCATGGACTCATTTGTTTCTGTGAGCTGGGAGAAGACCACCTTCATTGAGTTCAGCCATGGTTTGAGAGTCACTGCGTTAGCATCTGCTGGATGGAGATTCTGGTCAACTCCCTAACCAACACCCAGAACATAGGGTGGAGCCATATCCTGCCCGTATATAGATGGCAATCAATTCTGTCCAATTTAGCATGCATTTATTGAATCCCTACTCTGTGCCTACCCTGTATTAGGCCCTGGGAGATACAAGAAAAGTATATAACACAGTCTCTGCCCTTAAGGAGTCCACAGTGTAATAATAACTACTACTACTGAAGGAATACACCCTGCACTGTGTATGATAAAGGGTGTTGACATGCATATTCTGATGGGATGCTCTCAATAACCCAGTAAAATAAAGATTATTAGTCCTCATATACAAATGAAGAAACTGAGGGTCAGGGAGGGAGGGAACCTATCTCCATACAAAGATCACACAGCTAGGAACCACAAAGGCAATAGTTAAGCCTGACTTTTTAAACTGTGGTCTGACTTCACAACTTAGGTTCTTTCCAGTGAACAAGCCATCCCTTCAGATATGCGGGACAGAGAAGGAAGGCAGGTTATATAGTTAGGCTCCTTGGTTTATGCGCTGCTGGAGGACAGAGACAACATCTGTGTGTTCTTATTCAGGGCTTGACGCAAAGTAGACACCCAGAGCATGTTTGTTGATGTGTGCCTGATTGCCTGATCTGGGAATGATCAGTGGGATGCTTGAGAATGAAGCAGGGGGAAGACTTCTTTCTTTTTTTTTTTAAGATTTATTTTGGCGGCGCCTGGGTGGCTCAGTTGTTAAGCGTCTGCCTTTGGCTCAGGTCATGATCCCTGGGTCCTAGGATCGAGCCCCGCGTCGGGCTTCCTGCTCGTTGGGAAGCCTGCTTCTCCCTCTCTTTCTGCCTGCCTCTCCCCCTGCTTGTGCTCTTTCACTCTCTTTCTCAAATAAATAAAGGCAGAGCTAGAAGCAGGCAGAGGGAGAAACAGGTTCCCCTCTGGGCAAGGAGCCCGATGCGGGACTCGATCCCAGGATCCTGGGATCATGACCCGAGCTGAAGGTAGACGCTTAACCCTCTGAGCCACCCAGGCATCCCGGAAGACTTGTTTCTTGTCAGCAGTGGCACTTGGCCTTAAGCCTGGGTAGGATTTGGGTGAGGGGGGTAGGGTAGAAAGGAAGAAGAGTGTGGGCAAAGACTCAGACTGGACAGAGCCAGATTTGACTCTATGGGGACAGTCATTCTGCTCTTTGTTCCCACAGACTCAGGGCTCAAGCCCAGTGACACTAGATCTCATCATTCCCTTCCTGAAGCCAGGGAGCTGTGTCCTGGTAAGGAATCCTGCCCTCACTCTGTACACAGCCCCCTAGCATCTACTCTACAGGTGGCAGATGGGGCAAATCCAGTCTGCAAAAATGTTTGGTTTGGCCAGCACGGTGTTTGAAATTGGAATGAGTTGCTACCATTTAAATATTGGAGAGGTCATATTTTAAAAAGCTGATTTCTGGCTTCTCCTGGAAAAATCAGAAAACCTGGTACTCTGTGTCCACATTCAGGCATGGTGACAATGCGCTTGAGCTCAGTGGCATCTGATTACTTCATTCAGGGCCTGTGCCTTCCCGGTCCTCATGGACGCCCTGGCCAACTTCAAGTTTATTTTTTGGGTTGCCACTCTTGACCTGTTGTGTGCCCAGCCAGAGCTGGACCAAACACAAACCCTGCGCTGGAGAAATTCCCTATCTAGGGGGACTCCCCTTCTCTGTCCCCACTCAACTTCCCCTGGGAGGAGGGGCTACCCTGGCTCACAGTGGGGGGGCTCTGTGCCCTCAGGTGTGGAGGTCAGATGTTCAGTTTTCCTGGAAGCACCTCTTGTGTCCAGATGGTGAGTTCTTGGGAGAGGAGGGGTGGGATAAAAAGGAGGTTGGGCCCTGAGGAGCCTGGCTTGGCCTCACCCTGCTTGACTCAGTCTCTCGTAGACATCTGGGGCTCTTGATCCTGGCACTGCTGGCCCTCGCCACCCTGTTGGGCATTGTTCTGGTCTTCACCCGCCGGCGCCCACTGTCAGGTAAGCTCACTCTGGGGGTAACCTGAGGATTCAGATCTGCCCAGTGCCTAAGCTAGTTGCCCCCCCACCCTTCCCCTGCCTAGGCTCCCTTGCGGAAGAGCCATGCCCCTGCTGCTGCCGCAGGCTCTCTGCTACCCAAGGTGGTGAGCCTCAGGCCCCCTAGTGGTCAGGAGTGGTTAAGGCAGAGCAAAAGTCCCTCTGAGCAGATGGTTCACTGTTCGTGGTCTCTGGGAAGAGACCAGTAAGGCGTAAATCCAGCGGGCACTGCACCTGCCAAACCTGGCGCCCTAGACCTGGCCCCTTCCGGGCGCTTTTATCTAATTAGGCCAAAGACACCCTATAGGCTAAAGTTGCCTTGGGTACTCACCCCCAGTGCAGATAAGGAACCAGGTGGGGCACCGGATGAGTTAGCCCCAAGGCGGGGAGGAGGGGTAGAATGGGGGTGGAGTAGAGGAGGGGAAGTGCTGGGCTCTCCCTTAGCCCCCCACCCTGTTCATCTGCTGCTCCCGCCCCCAGGCCCTGGCCGAGCACAGCCGGTGTTGCTCCTGCACGTGGCGGACTCGGAGGCGCAGCGGCGCCTGGTGGGAGCGCTGGCTGAACTGCTGCGGACGGCGCTGGGCGGCGGGCGCGACGTGATCGTGGACCTGTGGGAGGGGACGCGCGTGGCGCGCGTGGGTCCGCTGCCGTGGCTGTGGGCGGC